TCCACAACCTGCGCAAGGTACTCAAAGAACAGGCGGCTGAGGCAAAAAAGAGTCATTTCGGAAAGGAAACTGGTAAGTTCTAGAGTAAATCAGCTGTTGGCGTGCAGCGCAGTTACCTTGCTGGGTGGTCACCTCCCAGGCACGCGTTAGAAAACAGAGCTTACCTGCTCCTTGCCGTTTTCTCCTCACAGCGATCAAATATATGCCCTTGGTGTGAGGGACTGTCTTTCTAAAATCTGATTAACTTTGTGAATAGTGAGGAAGAACGTCTGCCGTGTGACATTGTCGGGGTTCAGAGGGGTTGTAGTAGCGGTAAGCGTGCCTTCAGCCGCAGCGCTTCTTGGGCTGGAAGCATGCATAGGTCGAGAAAGCAAAAAGTCTTACGTAGCTTTAATGCTGAAATACTGTTTTGCTTCCCACTGTTTTTATGGTCTTGCATAGTAGTTAGCTGCCAAACACACAGCATTTTATGTCAGAGAAGCTGCAGGGTCACAGAACTTCTTCTTCGTATTCTTTTTCTAGTCTTAATTCCTAATGATCAATAAATCACTTCCCATTTTAAAGCAGTCGTTTTCTGTCTCGCCGTGTGGTGGTGCCAAATACTTTTCTAAAAGAGGCTTTTTAAGAAATCGTTGGTCATAGTATAACTTTAATTATCAAGACTTAGGGCTTTTTTTCAGTTGCTTATCTTGGTATCATAATACTCATAAGACTTTTTCTCCCTCGCATACTGTTTGGGCTATTTAATTAAAGTGACCCTTATTGCTCATTCTCATTATGAAGTCCCTTAGTAATTGACAGAATTTGAATGTTAGCACAGTCAAGGTCATGCTTTCTCTTTTCATCCCGATGTGTAAACAATTTCACCTACCTATATGAATGTATTTCTCTACTATTTTCCCTTGGGGATTTCAGCCCACTTCCTGGAGATAGGTTTTATGGTATTTACCTATTTTGCTGACAAAAAAGCTGAAACATAGTGCAGTATAATTATTTGCCAAGAAGTCAAATATTAAGTTAATGTCAGAAATAGAGCCAAGATCTGGAATTCTCTTTAGACTATATTTTTTTTAGCCCTTGAGCAACTGGTTGTGGCATATATTAAGATTTCCTCTGCTTATTCTGTTTGCAAATACTTTCTGTTCTTTGTCTTTAATAGTTTTCTTAATTGTTAGAAGATTGAAGTTTGCCTTAATTTCATCAGCTGGTATAGAAAGCATGAATCAGTATGAGAATATCCTGACACATGCACTATGTCTTTTTTTGCAAATTTCAGTAAAAGTTTATGTGTATAATTTAAAAAAAAAAAATTGCTTTCATGAGTAGGAACACAGTTACTGAGTGATTTTGGCTTATAGTGTCAGCATTATCTAGCTGCATTAAAAGAATACTTTTCATGTTAAGGGAACTAATAACAGGAATTTTGCACTTTTGGTATCTGAGCTGCTGCATTAGGTTATATGGACATAGCCTCTGGCATGTACTTTTAAGGGGGTTCTTAAAAAATACTTGAACAACATGATCTATTTTTCTTTCATATTATACTTGGTATGCTGTATTTAGTTGATCTGTGAATGACAGCAGAGTTCTGATTTCTTTATTATTTTTTTTGCTGTTGAATGGAACTCATCATGACATAGCAGGTCTGCATATTACTAAGTTTTGCAGAACAATCAGCTTGTTGGAAGATGAGTCTGATAAACTCTGTTTAAAGGGTACAAAACCCATCCTTGTTACAGACACGTTATTTTGTGGATCACCGGAAAGTGCGTGTGGTTGGAGGACAAGGAGGAGGAGGAGGTCATTCTTTTTATAGTGAACCCAGAAAAATATTTGGAGGTCCTGATGGTGGAAATGGAGGTGATGGGGGTCATGTCATTTTGAAAGGTAAAATCACTAAATCTGTTTTGTTTCTTGTTGTCTTATTGCTTAATGCTGCCCCCCGCCCCCCCCCAGCAAAAACAACCCTACAACACACTGTTTTTATGGTGGGAGCTGGTAAATGTAAATGTCAAAAATGTTGAAATGGTTATTTCTGTATAAGATGTCTTTGCTTTTTAAGCTTTGTCCTGAGCTGTGGTAACAGGGACATGAATGACAGTGGCAGCCTTAGAAAGCATTTTGAAAATCAAGATATTTTGCAGACATTTTAGTGGCTGGTGCCTTCCGAGAGGTTCCTGGAATGCGTTGATGATAACTTCCTTCTCCAAGTGATAGAGGAGCCAACGATGAGAAGTGCTATGCTGGACCTTTTTCTCACCAACAAGGAGGGGCTGGTGGGGAATGTGAAGCTCAAGGGCAGCCTGGGCTGCAGTGACCATGAAATGGTGGAGTTCAAGATCCAAGCTCACTACCCTGGACTTCAGGAGAGCAGACTTTGGCCTCTTCAGGGATCTGCTTGGTACAGTACCGTGGGATAAAGCCCTGGAGGGAAGAGGGGCCCAAGAAAGCTGGGTAAT